TCCGTGATTCACTGAAATATATAGTGTTATTTGTAATCTCTATGGTGTGGTAGTGGTTGCGATTTTTTTGGAAAGTGATTTTTATATGAGTCATATCTAGCAACTGCAAGTTAATTAACGTCCACAAAACATACAGAAGGGGATTTCTTAGAAATTAACTTTTTGCCTTTTTAAAGTCTGTAAAGATCTGGTATGAACATACTGATATAGGGGTTGTTGAAATGAGCTGCAGGGAATTGCAGCCCAGCCAGCAGGGTGAATTGTGTCACGAAATTTTTTGAATGAACTTTATGCTATTTTTGCAATCAAACTAAGCTAATTCAACTTTGAAATGTCAATTTAAATGTTTGTCAACTGCCGTGATAAGCTTTATTAAACTAATCATCCCGCTCAACCGTGTCAGCTCCATATAGGAACAGCCCGTTAGTAGAGACGAGATGAGAAAAGGTATAATATCTAAAACCTTTTCGTGCATGTGCAAGAGAATACGTAGGAAGGCATTTGTTGTTTTGTATTCCTTTAATTGTGAGACGTCCAGAAGGTCGAAGGAAGACGAAGGATAAGATGGCGTGATACTGTGAGATCTGAGAGATTTAATATATTAGCTGGGCCTGGGTTCATCAAAGTCACGTTAATTTTTAGTGTTAATGGACATTTCTACTATATCAACAAAGCAAAAATGAGCTATTGTATATGGCGCATATTTCCAATATTAGGCTTTCTTAATTATAGTAGTGAAAACAAATTAATATAAAATTTTAATTAACATTTCTACTATATCATCAAAGCAAAAATGAGCTTTTCTACATCGTGTATATATATTTATCTGCATGTATTGGGCTTCTCTTCCATAAACGCTTGACTTCTACACTTGAAATTTTGACTGTAGGTTATTTTTTGCACTTGCAATGTTTTCTTGCAAGTTTTTCGATTTCAATATGTGATAGTTAAATTAACTGTCGTGTATCGTTTTCGGTTAACCAGATATGCAAATATGTTATACATATGTTTTAACATTGATTAAAAGGCAAAATTAGAAATATTTGGAGAAAATAATATTGTTTCTAAGCATCCCAAATTCATGATGAGGATACTACCTGGCAGTACCTGCATGTACTACTAACGAAACCGAATTAATTTGAATGAGAGAGATTAAGAGAAAAGTTGTATTTTATAACTCTCTCGAGCTTTGTGATTATCTGTAGTTATTGAATAACATGTTTTATTTATAGTGTGTAGTACATGTTATCGTATTTTATCGGCAACTGATGTAATTAAATTATCTTTCCTGTTAGAAAAAGTCATAACATTCGCCATATGTGTCAAACGTCACAATGGTATCTTGGAAAATCAGGAATGCGATTATGGACCGATGTACAAATGGTTGGATAGTGCATGCAAATACTGATAAATGGAACGAATAATGTCAAATAATTCTACTCAAGTCTGTTATTCATCTGTTTTTACAGCGAACGTTTTTATCCAAACAAAACGCTCTTGTTTATGTTATTCCATTCCGTGATCTTTACGACTTCAGATTGTTCTAATTTCAATTAGAATCATCTGAATTCATTCTAATTTCAATCAAAATGGTTTTCTAATTCCAATTTAGAACATTTCTTAGTTTATAATTCTAATCAGAAGGTTCTTCATTTTATTGTCATTCCAATGAGAATGCTTTTCTGTTCTTTCTAATGTTCATGACATGATATGATGTCCAAACGCCACTTTTCAGTAACCATGTTCCAGAATCCAGTCTTTTTTTGATAGCACAACCCTCGCAATGCTAATTACTTTTGTTCTCTTTGCAGGTGCTGTTAGAACAGTCACGGGCGTCTTGAACGGACCTCTCAAATTCTCATCCAAGAAGTAATTTCACGAAGCTTGAAGAAGCAGGTAAGTTTGGGAAGTCAGTTTATATAAAAGAGACTTTGTATGTATAGATTTTTCCACAATGTTGACGAAAAGATCGGGATCTATACTGCACTATACAGCAGAAAATTGTCTTATTACCTTCCAATTACGTAGGCTATAAACTAGTGCATTATCACTGAAATAACTTTTCGTGGTTCATACATGAGTCCGGGAAGCTCACTTGAGTGGATTTCAGTGTTCATATATGAGTGTTCTTATTCCATCTAAAATTCCAACTTGTTGGGACCGCATTATGTAAACATGGCGTCTTCAAAATATTTTTTGTTGTACAAACTGAACCTTGTATTACGAATTTAACAGTGTCTGTTTAGATGTATTTATCCCACTTAATTGGCTGAGTCGCACCTTGCGCAAGCTGAGTGCTCGCGTAGCCGCCTGGTTTGTTTCTCATACTAGAACACAAATTGAATTTTACATGCGTTAGGCGAAAGGCTATGCAGATATCACTCTACGTAAGTTTCCCACTGGGCACATGAACAGGTCTTAAGGTCCATTTCCATTCAGGAAAATTTTCCGCAGAAAGAAAATTTTGTAAAATGTGATTGGCCGACGCTAATTTTCCGTCGAAAATAGTTGAAAATTTTCAACTTTTAACAATGATATTCTCGGAAAATTTTCTGTCCGTGGAAATACGGGAAAACGGGAAAAATACGGGAAAACGTAAAACTGGTGACCTCCCGACAAAAGAGCTTCGCCCGAAACGTTCTGATTTTCATCTTTTTGAGACACCAACCATGCACGCCAGCTTCTACAAATTTGAGGTTGACAAGTTCTGTTTCGTTTAGATTTTTTGAAAGATTTCAATGTTCAAAACCTTCTAATTCATATCAGTACATGCAGATATTGGAGTAAGTTTAGGAACCGTGACAGGGCCAGTTTGAAAGAAAACCTTTTCTTATTTTGTAGGTACGAAGCCGGTAAACTACGAAGCTTTCCGCGAGATCATTTGTAACATCATGGATGACATTGACACAAAGTTGAATGGCACGAACAGTTCTAATATTGACGACTTCGAAATGAAATTTGTGACGTCAAAGCATCTACCTTACGTCATTTTAACCGTACTTATCGTACTGATGAATACATTTGTTATTCTACTGTTTTCTTTCAACAAGAATCTTCGAAAACCTTACAACTTTTTGCTCCTCAGCTTGAGCGTCTCTGACTTGATTTACGGACTGGTAGGACTTCCCTTGGCCCTTGTGTGCTCGACCGTGCCGGTATGCCTGCCATGTGTGTTCTCGTACTCCTTTGTCGTGTTCACGTCCATCTCGACCGTGCTACACATTCTCGTGATATCGTACGAACGTTACATAATAATCGTGTTCCCGTTCCGAATGCAGCAAATAGGTCGAGTTAGTTTTGAGCTAAAACTATCAGCATGTCTGTGGTTTATTAGCATTTTAATTCCGCCGATACAGTATATATGGCTGCCACCAACAGAAGCATCATGCTTTGAGGATTGGTCCGAGGAAGTCGCCACAACCGAGCAAATTTATACATTTTCAATTATGGCCATATTTGTTGGGTTACCTGTGCTGCTTTTACTCTATGCTGACGTCAGTGTATTCTTCGTCGTTCGTCGGCAGTTAGCCGGAATCGAGAAAACATCGGTCGGCCCTCGGGACTCGCAACAGCGTCTACAAAAAGAGAAGAGGGTTCTAGTCTTGTTTGCGGTCATGATGTTTTACTTTGTGGTGTCATGGTCTTTTTATTACGCCAGTATCATAATGCATTCCATCGAAGGGTGGGATTACAACCTCCCTGTTTGGCTGGCTGAAACAGGAGATATACTACGTTGCAGCACTCCATTGGTCAATCCAATTTTGTACATTTTGCTCAAGCATGACTTCCGGCGAGTCGTGTGCCATGGGGTAAGGCGCTTCGTGAGAAAGTACTCGGGGTTGCAAAAAGAAGGAAGCGACGCACAGTACAGTAACGGCGGACGCTCGTTGGGAGGCCGGTCTGATTCTCGTAATGTCACCGAAAGAACTGAATTCTTGTGATTACGTCATTGTGATGTCATCGGTACACAAGATCACAGCCCTTCATTTATACGTTTCTTTTATCAGGGTTGGTAAACTCTTGGAAGCCAAACAACTCAACCTCACAGCTTACAAGAATTTTAATTTGTGAAATTCATTATTGATTAATATTTTGAAATAAAATATCGCTTTTTTCAGGTTGATTCCAGAAATAACCTGGTTGTGATTCTAGCCAATCAGGATTAATGAAATTCAGCCAATTATACAGCTGATAAAATTGAACCAATCATGATTGAGCATATCACTGTGTTCGCAGAAGTCCGCATTTGTTTCTTTTTTACCGCTTCTTTCGAACAAAAAGTTGTTTGGCCTCTTTTGGTAGATTTTGGCTACTTTTTCAATGGCATTTGGCTTCTAGCATGCGCAAGAACCTACCAACCCTGGTTTTTTTTATGCGGACGTATACGCACAGAATGTAAATCTTTCCAAATGTAATATATGTAATATTTCTCGTAATTATACGTAACAGCACTTAATTAATGCTGTAGTCTATGCGGTTGTAATATGAGTATTAATGAAATAAATTTAAAGATGCCGTACAGTCCGTATGTACACAAAATTAACAAGCTTTCGTTGATAAGGATGCAACTGCCTGTAAAAAATAGAAGGAGAATTTCGACGTTTTGACCGAAAGGCCCTTCGTCTCATAGAGATTATAAACACTAGAGGAGGCATCGAGGTTAAAAATTGGGAACGCAGCTAATGGACAAATTCAAGTCCCGGATATAAAATCGTGCTCTGATTGACCGATTTGAAACTCGACACCACATGAATACACATCCGGGACTTAAATTTGCCCCCCCAATAGCCCCGTTCCCTTTTTTTGACTGAATTAAGATTACAATGCCTCCTCTAGTGTTATTTATAATCTCTATGCTTCGTCTGGAGTTACTAGTAAACAAAACCATATGTAAACAAAGCATTTGTTTACATTTTTGTTTCCAAAATATTGAACTTTATTCGACAACTATTTATATTTTCATGTTTCTAGAGTATAATAAATTATCAAGACACAACAATCAGGCTTTTCAAGAACATAAAAACCTACTTAAACTGTTTATATCACGGCAGGAGGCTCCAATATACGCATGCGTAGGATGGACTGTACAGCATCTTTAACGTTTTTCCGTGCGTTTAATGCGCAATTAATTTGCGTGAGTGAAAAACATCGTATAAAAGTATTGCTCAATAAAAGTTATAAAACAAAGTGTAAAATATAGAAATGACGAACCAATGATTAGGGGAAACTGACGCTCATATTAATGATTACTAAAAGGACTAATAGTTATATTCTTGAGTTTTTTTAGGTTTAGATGTAGGTAATGAGAACCATATTGGTGTCCTAGTAATAATTTTATGCCACAATAGTCCCTAAATGTTAGATGAAAAAATGTAGTGTGAAATATGATAGGGTAATGGCCTGGTGTTGTTGGCACAATCACAATGTATGCCTGTGAAAAAATGTTGTATTTGAAAAACCTGAGGATAAAAGATAAAAAACCACTTGTATTTGTATAAATGTGAACCTAAGAAATATAAGTGCATGTTATAGACTTGTGGAACATAAAATTGGAGATGTATGTGTGAAATTGTAAGAGTAAAATATATCCTGTTGTGTAAAAAAATGATCAGACCCAAAGAGTATGATCGCGCTGTACTAAAAAGCTTGTATAGAGGCATGTAAAATATATAAAGCGAGATGGGAAAGTCGTGTGTAAAATTCAGTATCCCTGTACGCGGCGTTTCGTCTTTCATGGACTCGTCAGCAGGGATTGGGGTTGGCACATGTATAAGAAGAATAGAATACAGAAACGATTTGGATTACAGAGTGAATAAACACAAAAATAGTAAAATATGTGTATGATTATTGTGAAGTAAATGTAAAGTATAAAGTGTCTTACCAAATTCGCTGATATTTTTTGTCAATCCAACACAGATTTTATGATAATTATGTATACCATGTAAACATGATGAAAGATCGATATTGTTTCGTGGAAAAAGAATGTGAAGTATTAATAAATAGAGATTTAGATCGAAAATAAGTAATTTATATCCAAAATTAAAATTTTATGTTCACATAGCACATTTATAGTGAAGAAGCAGAAGAACACACAGACATGCTTGACATTTTTCATGTCTGGCATTTCTTTTGAAATATCTATGATGTTTTCCACAAATCCCTGTTCTTGGGTCTTTTGCACTGATAAATAAAGCCTTTTCTTTGCCTTCCAAAATAGCGCACATTTTACATAATTTGCGTACTGCGCTCGCAGACCGACGACCTGCGTTCAGGTGGAATTTCAAATATTCAGACTTAGCACCCTTCGACGTATTTACATTTTTTCCCAAACGCAGTGTGAAACTTCATGACAGTGAGAAAAAAACAGGCTGAAAAAAGTTCTTAACTATTAAAAATCTTTCTTTTAATGCCTGGTATATAACATTTGGGTCATTCTACGTCTCTGCTATGAAGTTAAAAGGGATTGAAAGCGGTATACCGGGGTTAGTATGCATCTGCTTTCAGTGTTTATATGAATTAAGACAAAGTATTCATAAATGCTATCAATTCGTTATGTGGGATTTTTATGCCATATACAATTCACAATATCACCGACTTTTTATCATAAAGTGAGGCAGTGTATTTACATTTTGAAACTATGTTTAGCAAACCATGTATTGTACTTGCTGTTTGGCTTAGGCAAAAACAGTTTAGTGTAGGTTTTATCCGCTTATATCTCAACGATTGCACTATCATGTTTAATCTGAATATAAAATCGCTTTTTATCAAAACATACATCTCTGCCGTGAACTATAGCATATATATCGTTGAAGAATCGCTTCACAATATTAGACTATGACACTAATATGTTTGTAGAATTCTAATTTAAGCTGAATTTAAAGTTTTTTGACATATATGGCTGTTTTTATATAGAAATTAAGTTATATTGATGACACTGCATTGTTTCTGAGCACTAATATTTACACTCATATTAGAGCCAATATTAACTTGTTAACACATTAACTTGCATTGGGTCATAAATGTGCCCTATTCTATTATTTTGTATTTTTGTTCTGTCATCAAGAGGAGACCGCTGGTGCTCAATGGGTAATCAGGTATCTGCCCATGTGTCTGGGCAAGACTCTCATTGGAGCTAGACAGAATTAAATATAGATAAGGGACCGCTCATTATTTATTGTACAGGGGGGGATTGAGGAGAAACTGGGGGGGCCTTCAAATTTTTCAAAACCTGAAAGGGGGGGCTTTGAAAAAATACAGAGAGACGAAAGAAGGGGGGCTTTGAAAATATTTACCAGTTTGAAAAAACAGTAGTTTTAAAAATGTATCACAAAACAACTTAACAACAAATAACAATATTTATAGACTTTAATATTCATAAATGGAAGTCAAATAAAAAGTCTCTCATGTTCATGTAAATAGACAATTCCCATTATAGACTAATTTTAGAACTAGGCAAAGAGATGCAAATCAAGGCCGGATTTTGGTGAAAATAGTGGGGGAGGTGGACAAAAATTTTAGGAGAGGTGCAGCGGTCTAGCTCACAACTCCCATGGAAAGTTAGGGCTTATTGTAGAACAGGCCAATATCAACGAGGTGAGGTATGCATGTAGTGTACATAATATGTACCAGTGTATTAATGAATTATGAATGTATGACTCCAATCTTGCCCTTCATTACAATTGCTACACTGTTTCTTTCAAAACATTGCATTAAAAGGGTGCTTGACATGGCTATCACTGTTTCAATTTTACAGAGAAAACTTTCTTACGTCACAAAGTGTAGATCCTAAGCAACCATCACATTTTCACTTTGTTCCATCATTGAAACTTTCCCAAGGGGAAGTGCATGACCTTTCAAGAGAGGTGGAAAAATTCTCAGGGGAGGTGCAAAACGATCTCTGGGGAGGTGCGCACCTCTCCACACTTCCCTCAAAATCCGGCCTTGATGCAAATAAATCACCACAGCTAGAAAGAGCATACTAAAATAAGTAAATTATTGCAAAGTTTGGTTGCGAATTGTTGCAAAATACGGAAAATATAGCCTTGCAAAGTTTGCAAATTTTGTACACTTTTGTATTGCATGCGAAAATTGCAATTATACAAAAGAATACAAAATTTGCAAACTTTGGAAGGCTATATTTTCTACATATTTTACAACATTTTGCAACCAAACTTTGGAATTTTAGTAATTTTAGTATGCCCTTCCCGGGAATATACTTTTTTTGCTAAGATAAAAAATTAGTCTATAATGGGAATGTCTATTGGTCCCCATTACCTATTTTTCTTTCTCTAAAATAAACAGCTAGAGTTTTTGTTTCTCTAAATAAAGATAAAGAGCTAGAGGGGGGGGGGGCAAAATTTATGTTCTTGTTTTGCCTGTTGGGGGGGGGCTTTGAAAATTTTACTTGTCTTAAGAGGGGGGCAACGAAAAAATATTACAACTGTAGAGTTTCTCCTCAGTCCCCCCCTGTACAATAAATAATGAGCGGTCCCTAAAGTATTGTAGCTTAATGGGTTAATGTTAGATCTTTTAATACATAAGACTGGTCAACTGATGACTCAGCTGATCAAATATCTAGATACTGCATCAATTAGAATACTTCCTAGAAAATTTCAATCTATGATTCCAGCTGAGCAATTTGCAACGAAGCATGGATACGGATGTTGATCTGCTGTCAGAAGATCCGATTACTTGTGGACAGTTGATTGTTTTAGGGTAAGATAGTTCTTGACATATTCAAGCTTTGTGGCCAGTGGCTGGTGCATGTGGCTTTCAGGTTTGATTAGAATTTTGATCAAGAGTGCTCCCAGTTTCACTCTCCCAAACACTAGTGAGATAATCCTGTGATTGGGTTTACACGCTCTGTGCAATATTCATTATTCCTACCTGCAATATTGAGCTGTCTGTGCCATACTGTAGATATGAGATATCTATAGTTTGTGCCAGTCTAGGTACATCTACATATATTTAGCTTGTATCATCTTAATAACAGACATGTGATAAGCCTACAGTACTTAGTGGCAATGATAAGAAAGCCTGGGATTGATAGGGATGCAACTACCAGAAAAATACAATAGGAGAACTTCGACTTTCTCCTTGTCGCATCCCTATCAATCCGAAGCCTTCTAAAATTGTACCTTCAGCATAGACGGATTTTCATATTTATTACTGGGGTGGTGCCAGAAATTTTAGGGGGGGGGGGGGGGAGCCGTCAGCGGGGGA